AGTCCAAGGATTGAATCCTGAGACACTCCAACATCACTTACTGGTAGAGATAAGAAACTGGCAGAGACTAAGAAGGAATGGCCAAGGAGGTAGGAGAAAACCAGTAATATGTATGTACTAGAAGCCAGGTAGAGAAAGAGGAAGAAGGAAAGAATGATCGATCAACTGGGACAAATACTGCTGATGGGCCAAGTAAGATGAAAACCAAGAAATGACCATCCAGGAGAGCACATTACATACCTAAGATATATATTTGTATTTAAACTGTTTTTGTGTTTGTGCCTTAGATAGCACTTTATGTTCCCATTCTCCACTACCAGCCTTCCAGTTCAAACCACCACCATGTTGGATTTTCCCTACAGTTACTTGAATCTCAAATCTATCCTTCACATAGCGGCCAGAGTGACCTTTATAAATAAATCACCCACTCCCCTATCTAAAGTCTTTCGATTGCTTTCCAAATAAAATTAAGACTCCTTCCAGTGTCCTCCAGGGTCTGAGGATCTGGCCTTGCCTGCCTTTCTCATCTCAGATCATCCCTCGCTTTTCTCTCAGCATTTTCCAGGCAAACAGATCCTATTGTTGCTCACCCCAAGGATTTTGTATTTGCTGCCTCCTTTGTCTGAAATGTTCTTTCCTCAGCTTTTCAAATATTTGGTCCCTTCTCTTCTTTCAGGTCTTAGCCCAGCTGTTACCTCCTTATAGCGGCCTTTTGATATCTAATGCAGGTTTGTCAATCAGTTTATAGTTTTTATTTATTTTCTTGTGTGTTGGCTGTCCTCCCCCCCCCATTAGAATGTAAGTTCCCTGTGACTTTTGAATGATGCTTCTCATTTTTCTTTGCTCCATTTCTAGCACCTAGCCTGGGGGTTGGAACATAGTAAATATTCAGTGAGTATTTGGTATTGAAAAAACTCAAGGGTTATTGAAAAAATTATAAAATTCAAGCATTCTCCATAATTATAAATGTTCTATATAGGAAAGTAGACCTAGGTCAATAGGTGAGTACAATATCTGTCCCATCTATAAACAGACTCGTAGAGAATCACCACTGTTAAGGGTTGACATGGACCTTAGCAATGTAACCTGTCATACAATTTAGGTATGTATGTATGTTTGTATGTATGTATGTGTTTATGCAACAATTTTTATTGAGCACCTACTATGTGTCAGCCTCTTTCCTATACAGTGGTGAGCGAAATATTGGGTTGTCGGAAAAGTCATGACGCATTTTTGCAACGAAAAACAGAAAAAAATACATCATGTCTTTTCTGACAACCCAATAGATATGGGAATCTGTTCATGGAGCTTATAGTCTAGAGAGGGAGATAGGCTTTCACAATGAGTCATTAAGTCAACACAGATACAACAAGTGAAATGAAGGAAGATGTTACTGAGCACTTATGTGTACCAGGCATTATACTAGGTGCTAGGGATACAGCAGGGAACCAGACAAAAGCCCCTGCCCTGTTGGTGCTTATATTCTAGAGGAGGAAATAGACAGTAAACATATTACATAAGTACATTTTATGGTGACCTAGGAAGGGGTAAATGCTAGGGAGAAAAATAAAGAGAGGGAAGGGTTATGGAGTGGGAGATAGGAGATGGCAATTCTCAATAAGGTGGTGTGAGTAGATGACACTTGAGCAGAGGCTTAAAGAGAACAGAGAGGAGGCATTTCCAATGAATGGTGGGGGCGGTGACATTAAGCTGAGATTAGAAGGCTGCCTGGCAGTTGACCAGGCAAGGAGAGAGGATAAACAGAGGGAGCAAAATGTGGGAAGATCTTGGCAGGAAAGAGTCAGGGACTTTGTAGAAATGGACAGAAGCCCGTTTAGCATAGTTCAGTGAGTGTGGGTGCAGTGGTATGAGATGCGATTAGAGGAGTAGGTAGGGCTTTGGAAGATGTCAGAGACAATTTATAGAGTTTGCGTTTATTCCAAATGCAATGAGAAGCCATTGGGTAGTTTTGGACAAGGTATTAACTTGACATCATTTTTGTTTTAAAGTATTATTTTGGTGATCTTGTCCAAATGGAGAAAGAATGGCAATGTACAGACCAGTTAGGAATACAGGAGGTGGGATTCGCTTTTACAACATATTTGACAGATGGTTATTTTTTAAAATCAAAATTCGTTCCTTTTTGTAAAATTCTTAGTATTTAAAATATAGATTTGATCATACCAGCCATGTCACTAGAGTAATAAATTTTTAAAAGGTATAAGCACATAATATTGAGATATTCTGTTTATATAATTACGCTTTTCTATTTTAGAAAATTCTAAATATCCAGCAGCAGCTGTAATCAATCAGTAACCCAAACTACATTAACATTCTTTTCTTAAATGATNACTTAGAACCAAGATAGAAATCTTGATCAAAGGATGATTTCTACATTCTGACTGGAGAATTGAATTCCTACAGTGAAGTGTCAGAGCTCCTCACTGCTTGCCTGGAAGGTTCTCAGGCCATAATTACCTGCCTTGAAGAGCAAAGTCATCATCATTTTCTTTCAAAGAATATTAGAGTACAATACACATAACATATTAGGCCAGTCTCACAAATTAGCACAGCCCCACAGAGCCTGCAAGAAATTAGGTCAGGCCTGAAAGAAATCAGGATGTGGTCCAATAAGCTTTTTGATCTTAAGTGGGAAATTAGTTTCACAGGTTGTTAGGGTCACTGTCTTTATTTTTAAGTGTGACAAAACCAGTAACAATTTTCAGTATTAGAGACCTATTTTTCTAAACCATGAAATATTTCTGGTCCTTCTTTTAGATCATTTTTGACATTGCATAATTTATTGAAGAAAGCAGTTTCCCTATTGGTTAGAAACTTATAATGTAAACAAACAAACAAACAAAATCTTCTGTTGCTCATAACATGAAAGGGAAATAAGTACATCCCTCGCCTCCAGTTATTACCCTTGAGGCCTGTAGTTTCCCCATTAGAAGTAAACATCTCCAAAAATCCCCATTTAAAATGTGAAAGTATTTTGAGAGTTAACACTTTAAGCCACTAGTACACATTAATGTCCAATAGTTAAGGTTGAGTAAAATGCTCATTAATTTAGAATATAGTGATCATTAAGATCTGTTGGAAATACAAATGAATCGATATAAAATAATCATTATCATTAGGCAGAAACATCATTCCCAGAGTTACAGACCTAAAGGTACAAATAGAGGGAAGAGAATGGGTCCGTTTGCATGTACTTGATTTTTAAATTGCTTGTCAGACAATTTTCTAATTTCAATTTGATTGATAAACTTAGTGTTTTGGAGATGGTCAATACAACCTATTCATTTTGAGCACAGGCTTTGAAGTAAAAAAGCTGAAACCTGGTCCCTGACCCTATGGTTTACCTTGGTCAGATGACTTAACCTCTGTAAGCTTTGATTTCTTAAATCAAATGGAGATACTAATAATATCCTAAGTTGTGAAGCTGTTATGAAGACTAAATGAGATAAATGAAATTGTTTCAAATTCTTAGAACAATGCCTGGCACATATTAATGATGATGATTATCATTATTTATTGGTCAAACTTTAAAAAGGGTATAGTTTGAATTTAATTGTAAGTTTTGGCTCTCCTAGTCTCTGGCTTTCTGTCCGGAGCCTTCTCTATATTCTCATCTCATACAGCAGGGCCAGTGAGAAGAGGGCAACCCCTCCCCCCAAAAAACCCCAAACAAACAAGAGCATCATTGCTTTCTGGACCCGGTCCTTTCTCCCTTTGCCCTCCAGGGGCCGCTGTGTTTCCTGGAAAGTGCAGGGTACGCCTGGTTGCCGAGAGACCGTCGCCAGGCAACCGCGTGTATATACACTGCTGGTCCGGCCCGGGCCTCATCAACATGGCGGCGCAAGGCGACTCTTTGACCTCACCATCCAACATGTCTGCCACGTCGGTGATATCGCCAGGATTGCCACCAACCCGGCCCTCCACCCCAACCGCAGTCTTCAAGTCGCCTCTGGGGCCGAGGGCAAGTTCTCTGAAACCACAGCCTCGCTCTACGTGCCATGAGGACTCGTTGCCTCTGGCTGTGTTTTATGGGCCCTTGGACGCTAAAAACCCTCTCCTGGCCTCTTTTGAGAAGGAGATAAAGGAGTTGCTAGGCTTTATGAAGAGAAAGAAGGCTTTAGAGATAACGGAGGAACAGAAGCATGAATTCCACCGGCGTTGGTAAGCGGAGGCAGGGCGCTGGGGCCGGGGCTGGCCGGAGAACTCCCGGCAACTCTTGGGACCAGAGGAGGAGATGCCCATGAGAATGCAGGCGGTGGTCCAAAAGCTGGGTCAGCCTTGCGGATCCAGCACCTGGCCCTGGAGTATTAAACAAAGTTTAAGAAGTGGAGAAGCTTCCCTATTACAATCCTTAATTCCTGGTCAATGTTATATCTCGGCTTCCTGCTTGGGTCCAAATAAAAAGCAACACAGAAATGTTTCATAACTCACCATTCTTTCTGAGCGTCTCCTAATTGCTGCTCCATGCCAATAAATTTTTGGCTCACTC